CACGACCGAGTTCATTCTGTCCCGTGAAAGCTACGAGTGGTTGAACAAGTCTCTCGAGGTTTACGAGCCTATGCAGCGAGAGTTTGGTACGAGTCCCCCGTTGCGTTGAGTGTGTGTGTAATACTGACGGAAAACAGGCCGACTTAACGTTAGTGGAACCATTATGAGCAAGCGAGCTCTCAAGAAGCTGGTTGAGGGTGGGATTGTTCGCGGCTGGGATGACCCTCGACTGTATACACTCATTGCCATCAAGCGCAGAGGTATTCCTCCTGGTGCTCTTTTGGCCTTTATCAACGAGCTTGGTGTTACCACTGCCAAGACAATCATCCAGATTGCTCGATTCGAGCAGACCGTCCGCCGATACCTCGAGAACACAGTACCGAGACTGATGCTTGTCCTGGATCCTGTCCCCATCTTCATTGAGGATTTGGAAGAGACCCAGGAGCTCGAGGTACCCTACTCACCCAAGGACCCCAAGTTCGGTACACACAAGGTCCGCCTAACTAAGACCGTTTACATCGACCGCTCCGATTTCCGAGAGGAGGACATCAAGGGCTACTTCCGACTCGCCCCTGGGAAGACTGTTGGTCTTCTCAACGCTCCCCACCCCATTAAGGCCACTTCATTCGAGAAGGACGAGTCAGGCAAGGTTACCAGCATCAAGGCCGTGTTCGACAAGGAGAGCAAGCCCAAGACTTACATCCAGTGGGTGCCTGAGGGCTCCATCAAGCTGGAAGCCCGAGTGCATAGTGCTCTGTTCAAGTCTGATGACCCCACAGCCGTTGAGGGCGGCTTCTTGAACGATGTCAACCCCAACAGTGAGGTTGTTTATCCCGAGGCCCTGGTAGAGGAGGGTTTCAAGGAGGTGCGCGAGAGAGCTCCCTGGCCTGTCACTGCTGGAGAGACGAGCGAGGCTAGCGGCCCCGAGAGTGTTCGATTCCAGGCCATGCGTGTTGCCTACTTTGTGAGTATCTATCGCCCTGGACAAAAATGTATAACTAACAATCCTGCAGGCTATGGACTCGGATAGCACAGATGACAAGATTGTGCTCAATCGCATTGTTTCACTGAAGGAGGATCGCGAGAAGAACTAGGAAAAGGTGCTATCTATACATGAAGAAAAAGAAAGAAAGAAGTGCACTCTAGATGGCTGACAATTGTTATCCTCTGTTTGCAACTAAGATACAGTGGACTTGTGGCTTGAAACAATGTGTAACAGATATGTATTCATGATGATGTGGGAGTGTAGACGAGAGTGATAGTAAGGAGCGAGAGATACCTAAATATATAACTATAACTATAGCTGAAGATGATTTGTATTCTATATAGACAAGGCGTTGTACTTTAGCACTGGGTCCCGCATGTTCTGTAATGCTGTACCATAAACCCTACTCATTCATCCGCAAAAGTCTCTCAACAATCATCATCTGTGAATGTGCTACCCAGCAATAGCATCGAAATACCTATCTCGAAGAGGGATTCATGAGTTTTCATTATCGATTTGGCCTTACTTGTGGGTATGAACGGGTAATGGCATCCGCACCTTGCAGGGCTGAGATCGTAGATTCGGGTATTTTCCCTGATTAGGCATAGAGCATGATTGAAACAATGTGAGGATCAGCAATGGGAGATGAGAAGCCCAATTGCTCAGCAGTATATCCGGGCGCAGGAGCTCTAATTAGCGATGGTCGGGACCGAGATATCTTGTTCCATCTCCAGGCTGGTAAACATTCCTCGCATTTGTTGACCCACGCAGGCTTGTGTTTTCATGATTATGCCTCTTTATTCGTTTGAACGTGATCTGTGATGCACATGCAGACTTTCCCCTTGTCTCTTGCATATAGTGGGTGAGACAGGTAGTAACAAGCAACGAGAAGTGAGTCTATGTCGTCAGAGAACAGCTTCAAGAGTTGACCGAAAACAAGATAATCAGGACCAAGTAGACAATCATTCGTATTCAGTTCTGAGCTACCTGCAGAAGAAACGATGTCAGGCTAATTGCCATCCGAAGCGCTATGATAATTGATTGATTGATTGAGGCAGAAGGATTTCCTTGCCTGTCATTTATCTCGGTGACGATATTTGGGGGCCAGAAATATCATCCTTGCAACTGATGCACATCCCTCCTCAACACTAGGACCAGGACCAGGACCAAGAACTGATCTCTGAGAAATACCCGTCTTTAGAACTACTCTAGAAGTTCAGCTCAAGAGACTGATGGAGCTTGAAGGAGTAGCTTAACCCACAAAACTCAAGACATGAGAGGGTCGGTCATGTTTGACCAAGGCTCAAGCTACACAGCCCTATCGAGAGGTCGAGACTTGGCTTTTGACTAGCATATTTTGGGTATAGGTGGGCTGCATACCCAATTTGGGTTGATGGCGCCAATAAGCGCTTATGGTTAATTTCTTAGCTTCTCAGCCGTTCACACTTGTAATGAGCTAAGGGCGTTGGCCAAGGCTGGCTGTGTTTCGAGAGATGGGCTGACTTTGAATGATTGGCTCTTTTATGAGCTAGATATGGTGGCAGGGCTGTTTCCTAGTCGATTCAAAGGCAATCCTTCAATAAGGATTGTCTTCCAATTTCTCTAATTCTCTCACCATCTCCCTCTCTTCCTCTCCTACACCCTCCAGTCTTGGCTTCAGTTCAATTCTCCGTATATCGACTTCAGAGATGGGTTCCTCGATGAGATGGCTCGCTGTGGCAGCTCTGGTGTCTTTCTCTCTTGACAAGACGAGCGCTCTTGAGTTTGATCTGCCACCTTCAGCACCAGAACCTACTTCACCGGCGAGACTTCGTGCTATCCGTCATGTATATGCTCGCGCAGACGCAACTACTGAGACTCTCAGCATCACTGTCGCCCCGGACAACACCTGTGGCTTTTACACACCAAACACGTCTTTCTTCTTCACATGTACTGGCGGTGTGAGGTGTATGTACGAGAATGATAAGTACAATGTTGCGTTTTGTGGTGAGAGGGACTTCAAGACGGCCTGTATGAACAGTGCCGATGCCTTGAACCCGGATAAGTGTGATGTGGACTGCAGACGGAACACAAACATTCAGAAATGGTGAGTCAAGTCCGGGTTTCACAATATGAGGCATTCGCTGATCCAATTGAACCAGTACTGCCGATACAAAGACGGAGTGTTACACCATCTACTTCCCCAACAACATCGAGAAGTACCCTTGCCATACACAATCAGGCTTCAGCAGCATGAACTTCCCAGATGGTGTAAGCGACTTCGAACAGTCAACACTAGGCGTAGACGTCTTCCCGGCTCTGGCCACCACCGAGGCATCAAACACAGAAGAATCCACCACCGAAGCCTCATCAAAGTCGACAACCGCAGCATCGACCACAACAGTCACAGGCGCACCCCAGAACGACGACGGTGAAGAAAACAAAGACAACAGTGGAAGCAGCACACCCGTAGGCGCTATCGCTGGCGGTGTCGTTGGAGGTGTCGCCGTTCTCGTTGCCGTGGGCCTCATCATCTTCTTCATCCGTCGACGAGACAACAAGAAGAAAGCAGCAGCTCAGCCATTGATGTCAGACCAAGCACACACGCAGCCACAAATGCCGTACGGAATGGCCCCTCAACAACAACACATGCATCCTTACCAGGAATGGCACACTGGATCACCGCCTCCTCAGGGCTGGCAACACAGCCCTTCGCCTCCCATCCTAGGAGGAGCTCCAGTGCTGGTTGAAGCTCCTGATTCTAATACTGCTCAGATTCATGAGATGGGCGATGGAACCGTCAAGTACAAATAAGCATACGAAAAAGGGAGGGCATTGTTTTGGATTGGTGGAAAGCGATAGAAGGCGTTTTAAGTGCTTACTTGTATCGTCCTGTGTTGGACTAGCTCATATTAATGGCTGCGACTAGTTTCACTTCTCAACTCTTGTGTGTGTGTGTTAAGCTCGTGACGTTGTTTGATAGACATGCCTTATTCGGATCAGATAAAAGCATAATTTGAAGGGAGGGTTGTAGATGGGTGGTCTAGATCTCTGGATGAAGATCTCCCGGCCTAGAAGCTGGTTGTTGAGTGGCAATATCGCACGCAGATCAAGATGAAGACTCTTGAGGACGCAAGAAGACCTAGGACCTTTATTCCAAGTCATAAAAAGATTTAGGTAAACTCAAAATAGAATCAAAAGGCTTTAGATGGTCTTCTTTGTCACTTAGAATGGGTCCTGAGTTTGTTAGCTTCCCTGGAACTCTAAGTAATAGACATTGCTGAATGTGAAGGGGAAACTGGACTCAGGTAATGGCTACATGGATCGGAATAGATGACGGTTTTCTACGAAAGTGAAGACGCCGAACTAGGAGCTGACTCCTGTAAGCCATTATTCGACAGCAGACAGAAGCTGAACAAAAATAGCTGATTAGTTAGAATTGACAGCGTATTACTCGGTACTCCATAGATTGAATCAGCGAGAGTTACCTATCCGTAGGTACGATTACGAATCTTAGCGACACAATGACATGCAGCTATCCCGTCCGTCTCCTTGGTAACCCCGTGATCTGGGTCTTGCGCTGCCAAAAATAGCCAGGGGTTTTGTCCTGCCAGCGCTGCCGACCGTTTATGTTGGCTAGCCTAAGCCAATAGAGGCTCTAGCGCCCTTGAGAGGGCCCGAGACTTCTGTGCTACAGGTGGAACATCCCGCTTAAGGTCCCTGGAATTCGCGGCTGCTCTTAATGAACTCTACTGAGGTTCCGTTGCAGCCGCGAGCGAGACTTGAGACGTTGATGTGAACCCTGCCAGTCTCAAGTCTCAGACCCCGACGGGACCCAAAACTTTCAACTCGTGATCTATACAACATCTTATCCGATCTACCCATCATCTCACCTTTTCCTCATCAATCAACAACCTCAAATCTCCCGTATATCCTAGATATCCGACCTCTCATTACGACCCCTATTGCACAAACCCTTGGATGACCTCATATCGCATTCCTTAAAACCTTCAATGTCAATGCCGTCTTGACGGTGATGACTCCCGTCGCTGCCCATACGACGGGCTCTTCCGATGCTGCCGCTGCCCTCAGGGGCGCAACACTCGCCTTCAACAAGACCAAACCTGCTCCTCCACCTCCGCAGAAGGACAATGGCGCCTTAACCGCTGCGACATCCGCCGGACGACCTCGAAGCCCTACCAAGAACCTCGGCGCGCAGAGCACAGGCGGAAGCACAATCGACAACGAACAATTTGGACAAAATGGGGGATCAATAGCGGCGAGGCTGAGACAGCTGGGCCATAGTCCGGGCCAGCTTCATCCGAGTGGAGCTAGGGGAGGCACAGATCCTAAGAGCGCAAGCTTCATAGCTGCCACGCTGGCAGCAAGTCGGAGTGCTAGTCCTAGTCCCAAGGCTCGAACACCGCGGAGGAGGACGAGTGTTGAAGGTTCGTCGAGCAGTGGTGAGATTGTTGATTCAGGGCCTATTGCGCCTACTGGATCACTTATCTCAATGTTTGAACAAAGCCGCGCTGGTGACCCTGTGAAGCGAAGCTCTCCCAAAAGGACTCCTGCCAAAGCGCCTAAAGAACAGGTCGATAGCATCTCGGAAGAAGGGGTAACGCAAGAGGAGAGACATTCACTGGAAACCAAACCGAAACCTAAGCCCAAGCCAAAACCAAAACCGTTGACACCGGAGCCTCGGACACCCATCAAACCAGCTCCCGAGGTATTGTCACCTAAGCCAACACTTCCTCCCAAGCCAGTTCTGAGCCCGAATCCTGCTCTGAGCCCGAACCCAGCTTTGAGTCCAAACTCTTTTAGGAGACCAAAGACACCTCCTCAGATTGTTGCTCGTCATGCAACCAACCCTATGCCGACGCCATCGCCAGATCCTCAGAAGCGCAATCCCAAACCTAGGGAACAACCTAAACAGCGACCCCCGACACCACCGCAGCCCAGAGGGACAAGCAAACCAAAGGTAGAGTCTAAGAGTGTCTTACATGAAAAGTCCCCAACCATCACACAAAAACGTGCCGCTCCTCCACTCGAACCTCGACTATCTCGTCCAAGGACAACGCCGCCTACTCCTACAGAAGCACGGCCGACATCGGCACTGACAGTATCTTCGGACGATACCTTCGTGTCTGCATCATCTGTTCAGTCGCCGGTACGAGAATCTCCTCCGGTGATGCCTGTAAAGAGGCATTTCACGGGTAGTGTTCCGCCATCACCGACTCGAGATTTTCGACGCAGCCAGTTCCAAAGCTCATCAGCCACAAGCCTCCCACTCGAGTCTCTCACGAGCGCCATCGTGGCTGGTTCACTCGCGTCTGCTCGTCTTACACCACACAATACGGGAGGCAGTCTAGCGCCCCCATTGCCTCGAAGGCAAAAATCACCTCGTCTAATGCAGACTTTACGGCAGCCGCCGAAGCCTCTAGAAGAGGATACAGATCGACACAAAAGGAAGGGGTTGAAGCTTCACAAAGGAAAGCACGCGCACCACGAAGGTTCGCGAAAGAAGTGGAGAGAAGAAGTAACACCACGAGAGCGGAAACGATATGAAGCAGTTTGGGCATCTAACCGTGGCTTGTTCCTTGACTTGCCCAACGCGCCTCTGGATGCAATGAACGGAGACCCCTCAGAGTATGTTCTCAACACAGTTGTTCGAGAAATCTGGAAGCGGTCCCGTCTACCGGCAGATGAGCTGGCCGAGGTATGGGACCTGGTTGACCGCAAGGGACGAGGCGTTCTGGGACGTGCAGAGTTTGTTGTTGGCATGTGGTTGATCGACCAACGCCTTCGTGGACGCAAGATCCCAGCCAAAGTGAGTGACAGTGTCTGGGGCAGCGCCAATGGTATACAGACCAAGAAAAATGGCCACAAGCATTAGGGAGGCAGGTGGGCCAGATAAAAATCGTAAAACTTAAGCAGAGGATTACAGGCAACAGTGTCCTGGGTTTTATCTGTAACCCCCCCGGGAGGTTAATTCAAATTCGTTCTTTTCTATAGAGTGATACCCTATTTAGACTACTTGCCTATTGCCTATATAAACAATTGTTTATGTCCCTACTATCTAATCTGACATTAATGAATAAGTGAGTTACATCGCTGATGCAAAGAAAGAAGCACAGAGGAGTATAGGATAAACATCAAGATTCATGTCCTCAAATATTTTCATAAGCAACGTCTATGTTCTAATATGCAAAATGTGACAAGAAGATATAAACAGTTCATTTGCAGACCAGGGAAATTCGACTTGTCTACACAAGACAACCCCCATCCAGTCTCCATATTCAACACCACCACGTCAAGGTTTTATCCCCTGACATAGGTAGGTAATCAAACTCTAACAACTCATGATGAACTAGCATACTCCTTGCTAGTCTTGTCACCAAAAGTGACGGTGACATTGTACTCGCTGATGGTAGGGCTTCCAGAAGCACCGTAGATGCTGAGAAGAGCAGCAGTGACGAGGCCCTTGCCCTTGGTAGCGCCCTCGGGGATGGTGAGCTTCTTCTTCAGAGGCTTGACCTTGTTAGACTCGGCTGTTTGTTGTATTAGCAATGAGATCAAGATAAAAGGAGGTGAGACATACCCTTTCCGAGGGCGAAGGAATCAGCGACTTGGCCGATGGTGCCGGGGTACTGAGACTCAGGAGCGTAACCAAAGACGATAGAGGAGTCGAAGACGCTCTGGATGTAGTTCTCGCGAACGATGATGGCCTCGAAGGGCTCACCGACTGCGATCTCCTTGGGGACCTTGATACCGGTGATGCGGGCCTCAGCGAGGGCGAGGAGAGCGGTGGAAGCGGCGGCGATAGAGAAACGCATGTTGAAGGTTGTCAAGAGTTGTGCAGTTGAAGTGGTTGTGTATAGGTAGGATGGAGTTGAGCTGAGTATAGGAGAACAGGAAGGATTCAGTTGAAGATTCGGCGATCCTTTATATACATAGACAACACTCAACTCAATATCACATTATTCATGCATGTCCAACGTGAACGGATACAAACAACACAAACCCTTGCATACCCATCCAAGGCCAAGATCTATTTACAGCCCGTGGACATGGCATCCGCCATAGCTCGCCCCAATCAATTTGCAGTGCCGATCACTACCAACTCCAAAGTCAAAATGCGGTCTTCAGCTCGGCAATTCAAACAAGTTGGATGCTTCCCCGGATCTTTCGGGGGGGCAGATCTGACCGCTTCTCACCTAGAACCGATGCATTCTTTGTGGCTGCGCCAGAATCTTCTTTGGTGTTGACCGTTGAAATCCCAAGGCAACGTTGCTGCACTGTATCTGAAACTGGGGGCTAGCACAGGCCGATACGAGCTTGATCGACGCTGTGCATGCTATATTCTCCGCCCAATGGGGGCTGTACGTGGACATATGAGTGACTATGAGTTGATCGAGGCTTCTACGAGCCAATCTAGTTACCGCTTCCATCTTGCGCTATGTCAGCTCACGATGACGCACTATCTGTTTATGCCCAGACTAGAGTGCGGATATAAGTGCCGGCTCAGAGACATTACAGGGGCAATAGTGCCACTTTTTATATAGTATCCTAGACATTTATAGTTGTACAAGGTTGTAAAGGGCTGCTATACCGCCGGCACATACATATATAAACATCCATACTGTACGTACGGATACTACATGCTATATGGCTTCGTCATTCCCCTAACCAATAACTTGCCGATACCCGAACCATGAAGATCACCTCGTGTTAATGCTTGGCTGATGTTTGTCCGTGATGTGGGCAACATTACGGAGTATGTGGAGGTATTCTGTCACTTGGACTCCTTTACCTGGAACAAATCGTTGATGACAATACAATATATGCTGAAAATAATTCTATCGTTAGTACTAACTTTTGACTGCCAGGAGTATACTATGGTATCCCAAATTATTGAAACAAAGACGAGCGAGTATTCTACTCCTCCATCTCCTCGTCCTCAGCCGCAGCCGCAGCCGCAGCATCAGCCTCCTTCTTCGCCTTAAAGCCAACAGCCCACTCCTGGGCCTTAGCCATCACCCTGTCCTTGCCCTTGGGGTCAAGCTTCTCCTCCCAGTCAGCCCAGCGTCTGAACCACTTCTCAGCCATCTTGGGCTTCAAGCCCTTAACCCGTGTCCTTCTATCGAAAACGTCACGGATAGCAGTGGGGTCAGCATCAGAGAGACCAATCTCGAGATCGAGAAGCTGGCTCCAGAGATCACCCTTCTTAGGGTAGGCAGCCAGGAGAGTGGCAAACATAGTACGGCCACGTTCGGGCTCGCCATTGGGAGATCGGAATTCTAGAGCGGCGAAGCGGCTCACGAGGGTCTGACTGTGACGATCGCCGAGTTGCTGAGTGGCTCGGGGCAGAAGAGCACGAGCTCTGTCAGGAGTGTTGCGGGTAGCATGCAAGAAATGGGCATAGTTGAGCCAGACGTTGGGAGACTTGGCACCGAACTTCTTGACCATTGTTTCGAACAAAGCGTCGGCGTCCTGTGATGTAGTTAGCACGTGATGACTTGTGTGATGCATTGTGAAGTAGCTTACCTTGAGCTTCTCGGACTGGATGTAAATACTGGCCAGTCGCTCATGGACCTCTTGTGAGTCATTGTATTGGCAAGCCCGCTTGAAAACCTCCTCCACTGTCTGGTTCGTTCCGTAGGCAACCTCCAAGTTGAGGTAAGCAACCCAGACGTTGAGCTTCTCGGTCTCTTCACGGATGTTGATAGACTTGATAGCTCGCTCAGCAACCTCGCGGGCCTTGGAAAGCTCGGACACTTGCATCTGGAAAGCCATGTAGGCAATCCACAGCTCTGACGAGTCAGGCTGTCCAAGCAGTAATCGCTCGTAATCGCTAGAGGTCTGGGGGCCATTGGCATCCAGCTCAGCAGTTCGGTCGACCTGGATCTCGTCTCTGTTCCGCCTCTTCTTCTTTGCCTTCTCATTGTCCTTTGATTGCTCCTCTGACTCTGACTCTAGCTCATCGAAGGGGTCGGCTGACCACTCAGACTTCTTTCCTGCACCGAGACCCTTGGACTTCTTCTTAGTCGGTTGGTCCTCCATTTCCACATCCTCATCCTCATCATCGTCCTCATCCTCATCGTCCTCATCGTCCTCATCCTCATCTTCATCCTCGTCATCTTCGTCATCTTCATCCTCGTCTGAGTCTCCCGCATTATCTGTTCCCAGGATTTTGAGAAGCGCACCAGCATCATCCATGTCCACATCATCGTCACTGTCGTCATCATCGAGCTCAACACCGGCATCCGAGTCATCCATATCAGTATCAGCATCCTCGAAAAGTGAAGGCTTAAGTCCAAAGGTGACTCGTCGCTTATTGGTATCGACTTCTAGAACACGAGCCTTGACAGCGTCACCCTCCTTGTAGAGCTTGGTTGCGTCCTTGACAGGGTTTTCGGCCATCTGACTGCGATGGCATAGGCCGCTGACATTGTCGGAGTTGTCGATCAGGATAAAAGCACCAAACTCCTCAACCTTTCGCACCTTTCCGGTCACAACCTGACCTTCCTTGATATCATTGTATGTAATGGGAGGGGTGTAGTCCTCGTCAACAACTGAAGACTTCAAGCTCAACTCTACGTGGCGAGTCTGCTTGTCAACAGCAATGACTCGGCCCTTGACAAGCTGGTCAATTTGGAAATGATCCTTCCACTCCTTCAGATACCGATCCGACAAGTTCGAAATCTTGACTAGAGCAGTGACTTGTCCACCGAGGAGAACGAAAAGTCCCTTGTCTGAGACATTCTTGACAAATCCTCGGACAATATCACCAGCATCCAATTGAGAAACGTCGCTGATCTCCTTATCCTTGACTGGGAGTGTAGAGCTCATGATACGAGAAGGACGGGTTGATAGTCGGAGTCTCTTGTTGCTTGCGTCAAGTTCCACGATAGAAACGCGAACAATGTCACCCTTCTTTTGCTTCAGAGTGTTGACAGTGTCAAAGTCATCGACCATGTCAGGGAGGTGAATGGGTCCCGACACAAGCTCGCTCAGCTTGACGAGAACCTGGCGTTCGTTGACCTTTGTGACTCGTCCAGGAAGAACCATGTTTTGCTTGAGAGCACTCCAAGTAACAGTTTCAGAAGAGTTGGAAGAGCGAGCAGAGAGGTCCAGGCGCTTGTTGCGAGCATCGACACCAGTCACTCTCACTTTCAAGGCTGAGCCCACAGGGAAGTTTGCCTCGAGATCGTTGAGTTGAGAAAGGTCATCCGACGCTTCCATGGCAGAGATTCTGCCACGAACAGAGGGAGAAAGATTGACCCAGAGATGTTGGGGGCTGGAGTTGTTGACGAAGGCGACATAGGTGTCACCAACCTTGAGGCTCTCAAGAGAAAGGGGTTCGAGAGTCTTGGCCTTCAGGTCGCTAGGCTTTGCGGTAAGTTCGAGCACAGAGTGGAGGGATCGGTGAGAGAACGGCAAAAATCGGTGGTCTTTGGCGCTGTGGACTCCCATCACGCGTACTGACACGGTCTGCTTCTTGTTATACTTGTCAAGAGGGTCCTTGGGGTCGGGGATATCCTCCCACTTGTCGAAAATTTGAGAGACATCAATTCGGCCCTGAACCTTGCTGTCGACAAGCTGAACGTTAAGCTGTGTATCCTTGATAGATGTAATCTTAGCCTTAGCCACAGTCCCAAACTCAATATCGTCTGAAGCAGCAGGCTTGTCACTGGCCTTGGCCTTCTTATCTAACTCGGCAGACTCATCGAAATCAGCAGGGGCCACCACGATACGCTTGTGATCGGGAATAACGGAGACAATCTTGACTTCGATTGACTGGTGCTTGTGCATGCCAAAGTCAGGTAGGTCCTGAATGTCTGCAGCAAGGCGAGCCTTAGGAAGAAGAGCGTTCACGCCTCCGCCAAATTGAAC